TAGGCTATTAAAAGCATATAAGGCTTTTCAGTTCTTTGATGATGTAGATCATAAGCAGTGTGTCTCATTGATTATTGGTTCATTGGTTACTTCACAATATCTTATTGCGTGTGATACAGGGTTAGGCTACTCAGCGCTTAAAAAAAAAAAAAATGAAATGCATCTCTTTGTGGCCAAATGGGCCCAATTGGAAACCATTCTGCTAAGGGAAATGAGCCAATTCCAAAAGGTTAGATGCCACATGTTTGCCTGAATTTAAGATGAAATTATGTCAGTCCTAAAAACAGTACCTGCAAACTGTAATATTATTACACCCTCAATCAGACATTTTTCAAAAGAACAGATTCAAATGGCTAACAGATATGTGAAAAGATGCTCAGGCTCCCTAGCGATCAAGTGGAAACCACATTGAGGTACCACCTAATTCCAGTAAGACTGACCTACATTCAGAACTTGACTAATACCACCTGTTGACATGGATGTGGGGAGACTAATACCACTAATACCACTGCTGGAGGGAGTGTAGACTAGTATAACCACTATGGAAATCAGTATGGAGAGTGCTTAGACAATTGCAAACAAACATGCCATATATATGACCCAGCTATCCCACTCCCAGGAATAGACCCAAAGGAAGTGAAAACTACATATGAGAAGGCAATCTGTAATCCTATATTTACAGCAGCGCAGTCTACAATAGCAAAAGACATGGAAACAAACCAGATGTGCGTTCAGTGAAGAGTGGTTAAACAAACTGTCGCACATCTACTCTGTGGAATATTACTCAGCCATTAAAAAGAATGAAATTATACCATTTGCCACTAGATGATCCTAAATAGAGACCATTATGCTCAGTGAAATAAACGTAAGGACTAGTACCATATGTCCTCTCCAATATAAGGAAGCCATCATGCAAATTGTAAGGTCAATAACCCTTTCCATACTGTCTTTACTGCATCCCTTGTGTGGTGATGTTTTCTATTTCATTTTAATTTCTTCTAAATACTTTTCTTTTGTTGCATTCATTGTTGGCTATTGGATTGCACAGTGGCATCATTTTACCCAAGAGACTTTTGTGTTTTCTTTTTGTCACCCATGTGTTTTTTATTCAGTGGCATATTTTTTTTCAACTCCATGGTGCTATATTTTTTTCTTTTTTTTCATTTTGTTTTAATTTCATCCCTATTGTTAACCTTATTTTGTGGCTTCTCGTTTAAGGGAATGTATAGTGATAGAGTAATAGAGACTACCATATCAAGATGTGAAGATAAAATGCAATATGCATCCCTACTTCCAAATCAAAGATCGACTCCCAATGGAATTGTTGAACATTATCTAGACAATGGGATGCTGGATTGTCTGACATTGTTTATACCAGCAATGTCAGGACACACTTAAGTAACAGACTGATAGAGTTGTAACTCCTTATGAAGACTGTACTATTGTAACAATATGAAGAAAATCACTTGGGGAGTGGGAACTTGGCAGAGGGTCGGAATCCCAGACTCTATACCATAAAATTCAAAATTCAAAATAAAAATTCAAGAAAAAAGAAAACTGAGGGAAAATGATGTTGGGCTTTGTTCTTTAGGCACTGACCAAAAAAAATTTTTTTTAAGAAATTGCTGGATATCCATCTCCAGTCTGAAAAGTTAGGCCAGAACTTAACTTTGCCACCCCACAGTAGTAATTCTAAACAGATGTTTAGCACAGTGTACTTTGTAAATGTAGACCTCAAGTCCAGATTGCTGCCAGAGATGATCATTTGGGATTTCTCTTTAAAGTAAGAATTTACAAGCTTGCTTACTCAAAATGGCTGAGCCAAGATGGGAAAATGATGCTAGCTGGTGAGATCAAACTGAATTAAACTGAATTAATTGTTGGGTATATCTATCCCTGGTTATTACAATAAAATTCCTGCAAGCATTCAGTTGTCCTAGAAAGAAAATCAGCTTAGCAATCATGTCAGCAATGTTTGGAAACAATTTATCATTCTAAAAGGTATGCAGTCTCTGAATGTCATTTTATACATTGCTTATTTTGTCCAAAATCAGTATACTTTTATTTTCTTCCTTCAGGTGTTTCTTGAATATCTATACCAGACAGACTCTGACTTAAGAAATGGTGAAGCAAAGGTGCCTAAAACCCAGTCCCTGACCTGAAAGATTAGGCAGGTTAGAAGAATAAATACAATTCTATTCAGTTAATAGTAAATGCCACGGTGATTTTGCTTCTGGAATATTCTCCTTATTCAATTCTCCACTTATTGCCTGGAAGAAAATTTTGTGCCTCCTTAAAGACTTATTTCAGAAACTTCTTTCCTGGTGAAGGTTTCTCTGGCGTGCTTTATCTCCTCCACTACCCAACCCCAAATGCATATACACAAATCCTGTCCCACGGTTTTCATTATTCCACTGTGTTCCCATAGCACTTCACTTACAGTTTTATTATAGTACTTATCATGATAATTTGTATCTTGTTTAGATGACTGTGCCTCATATCTGGTTGTTTATATGACTGTGCCTTTCACTATACTGCAAGTTCCTCCAGAGCAGTAAATGAGTTTTTATTCATATTGTGCCTAGTTGCTAGAACAGAACTCAGCATATAGTAGCCTCAAAAAGTTTGGAAGAAAATAAATGAATCAGAAGGCATATTAAAATCAAATTATAGTGAAAATATTATGAGAACACATAGGAAGGAGTAATTCATTTCAGTGAGGTGGCTTCACAGACAAGTTGGCATTGGAGATTCCCCTGGCAAATAAGTACAATCTTACAGGTGGTGATGGGTGTAGGTGACGGAAAGCAGATGAAAGTGACATTTAAGGCAGAATGTCTTCAGAACAGCATTCCTTATGTAAAATAATGCTGTTCCTAATATTCTCATGCAAACCTGCCTAACTGGAACCCTACTTGCTGGAATTTTAACAGGCAGTTTGAGTTGATGCACATTTTGTAAATAGTAGTACTGTGTTGTCCTTTAAAATAAAACACTGATGGTCTAGATCATTCTCCCTCTCCTCTACCCCCACCCTTGCCCCAACTTAGTCCAGAGTTTGGCTAGGTTGGTACATTGTAAATGTAATTCTTTGATCTCAGAATTCTTTGTTGTGAAGAGTTCTTGATTTTCTTATGTATTTCCCAGTATTACAAAGCCAGTGAATATATCGTTTTACATTGGGGTCCAGTACTTCCAAATCTACTTCTTTCATATAAGAGTCATTCTCCAGCCACAAGAGAAAAACAGGGTGCAAATTCAGTAATGTCTAAAGGTATCTTCCAACTATAATGTTCCTTGAGATCTTGTATTCCATGGTTAGCATTGGCAGTACACATGGACCTAATTATAGCCATGTGAACTCTGACCAAAAGGGTTTTTGATACATCTTGTTTGTTTTTCTTGGTTGAGAATTACAAGAGGTTCTTTCTAGCCTTTAAATATGTGTTTGTGAAACCACTGAAAACTGAGTATGAGGACTGAGCAGTTCCTACAAAGAAGTCACCAGTTCTGGCTTCTGACTACATTAATGAACTCCTAGAGCCAGCAATCACTGTGTTTATGTTTCTGGCTGGTTTATGGGGAAGAGGAAGCAAAGGGAGGGCTTATGCATGTCAATGTTAGTATTTCAGAAAGAATGTCTCTAGAAATTTGTATTTACTTATTCTGACCAATCAGTGACCAAAATAGAACATGCAGAAATAAACCAAACAAGGAACACCCCTGATGTTGCCAGATTGGAAGGAAGTGGTGAACTTTGACAAGCTGCTGTTAGAACAGAGTTGCTTTGGGGATATAATTGGCAGAAATGCATACTAGGAAGGTAAGAGAAAAGTTATGAACTTTTACTATGGCTTTCAGTAGTCAGAAGGAATTTCTAGAAATAAAAGTCTGTACTCAGATGGCCTATGACCTTATCTCTTCCATCTGTGCAATATATGCATGAACATATATGACCTGCTTTAATGTTTTTCTTTACATCATCTCTGCTGGGGTTTCTTCTCCCTTCTTTATCTAACTAATAACTATTCATCACTCTGTTCTACTATACTTCTACAGAAATCTGGCTCAATCTTTCAAATTCTGTCTTCTCCATGAAGCATTTGCTAGTTAGCTCTTCATCATTTCTTAATTTCTGATCTTTACAATTCAAGTCTTTTATTGTTTCCTAATTGTTTAATTGGAGATATTAAGCAATAGTGGCTAAACATACACAGTGCTGTATGACCTCTGACAAAGTAACCATTTAAAACCTCTTAACTATTATATGTAGATATGAATAGTGCCTCCATCATGGGGTTCATTGTATGTTAAATGCTTCACCTGGTATATAATAGATGTGCAATAATTTGTGGTACTGATGGGTGGAGGTGGTGAGAGTATCACCATCATCATCAGTCTCTTCAGCCGCTGGATTGTGCAGCTTTTAAAGTCAAAGGACATGGTTCTTATCTTCTTTTTTCCCGGTGCTCCTCTAAATACACCTGCTGATTGTGTCCGGCTCTATTCTGTACTACTATCACTAAGATGTTAAATTGCATCTGCAGTAGAATCTTTGTATTTTATTGCCAACTACAGAAGGTCTGAGATTTTTTTTTTCTTAGTTAGCATGCATAAGTAGTTTAGACAGAAGCTGCTGAAGTAATCATATGCTAGTAGATGGGAAAGAATAAGAAATTTCTTAATCATTTCAAGACCCGTTGGTGTGTATACTTTGGGACAAAAAAGAAAAAAGTATGGAAGATATGGATGGAGGAGAAATGAAGGGATCTCTTACACTAAAATGTCATCTGGTGAATTGCTTTCAAATTCCATGATTTCCTGCCAGTTCGAGCTGTATTGTTTCAATCCTTTTAAGAAAGCCAGCCTTGAGACCTCATCTACCACTGTCCTTCAGATCATTTTTGGAAAAAAAAAAATTGCCATCATTAGTATTAGTAAGTAAACTAGGTACTAGAACCTTAACACCACAAATTACTTGGCTTGTCATTTCTTTCCAGCTGATAATAGTAGAACTCTGAATGTGGATTCCACTGCAATGACACTACCTATGTCTGATCCAGCTGCATGGGCCACAGCAATGAATAATCTTGGGATGGCACCACTAGGAATTGCTGGACAACCGATTTTACCTGGTATGTTATTTTTTAATCATCTCACAAGTGTTTTTATTGACCATGTGGTAATAAATATAGTAGTGTGACACAACTTATTTTGAAGTTGACATTCACCAGATTCTGCGTAGAGTGTGCATTTTTGTAATATGAGCTTTATAGATCAGGTAGCCATTAGTATACTCATTGTTGTACTTTGGACAAGCTGAATGTATATCTGATGTACAATAGAGTCACTGACCATTTAAATGACTCATTGAAACATAAAGCAACAGAATTGTGACAAGGAATTACAAGAACCCTTGTCTAACTTTATAAATTCATCTAAAGGCAGTTAAACATGGAGATGCCAAAAGCCCTGATTTAGATATCTTCAAAATCATAGATTCCTAAAGAAGAGGAAAAGAGATGGGAGGGACACTAGCTGAAGGGGTAGTTTAGGTGCCATGAAACCTTCTTAGACAGTGAAAGTTAACTAGCCATTTCAATGGATTTGTGAAGACATTAAAGAACTACCATCTCAGACACTGGGATGGCTTTTTATGCAGCCTAAATATAAACTTTCCTAGATTCATTTAATTGTGATCTTACTTAAAAGCCAGGCTAGAACCATGCTACACATACTGTGCTCTGAATAAACTGAGATCTATTAAAGTTATAACATTTTAAGTCCTAACCCAGAACTACTGCATCAGAAGCTGCAGGTGATCCAAACTTTCATTAAAGTTAAGAAGCTAATCCAGAGTGGTGCTTTTTTGTCTTGCAATTTGTTTATATAGTTATCTTTTATATAACTACATATATATATATCTTCTATATAACTATATATATCCCAACCTCCTGCCCCCCCAAAAATGTAATTTACTAGTTCCAGACCACATCAATTGTTACAGGCTTTTGTGTGGATTAGGTATGTTAGGTAAGAACAATACTAATAAGTTAAGAAAAAAATTTACATTGAAAGCCACCAAGGATGAAGAGAACAGGGGTATGAAAGTGAGAAATAGAGAAAGAAATGAGTATCACTTCTATACATGACAAAGACAAAGAATGGTTATACCAAACTGTGATTCAAGCCATGAGCCATGATTATCTAGACTGTATCTTCCCATACTAAATCAACCATGACTAAATTGAGTAACTAGGAATCTTTGGAGGGCTTGAATGATTAGATCACAGATCTTCGCTTTTAAATGGATGGTAGTGCCAATCAGGGATCAATAGATGTTACCATTGATGTTACTATGGAAACAAATATTGCAGACTGATTAAAATCTCAGATTCTGGATTTAATATGCCATGATTCCAGTATCTTCTGAGTATCTTCTGAGATTCAATTTCATCACCCATAAAATCAGATCAGTAGTATCTAACCTCTAGTGTTGAAATAAGAATAAAGTTATGCATAACACCTAGCACCCAATAAGTGCTCAAAAATGTTATTAAAATACTCTGAAAACAACTATGCATATATATTTTTAATTTATTTATTATTTTATGATGCAATTCCATAGGCTCTGGTAAGGCAGTAGAAGATGAGTCAAGTTCTTGAGCTCCTGCCACTATAGGGGAGACTCCAGTAGAGGTCCAGGCTCCTGGCCTGGCCCAGCCCCAACCATTGCAGCCATTTGGAGAATAAACTAGTAGATGATTTCTACTCCTACTCTCTGTAATTCTGCCTTTCCAATAAATAAAGCTTTGATACAAAAACACTGTGAATATATTAAGCCATCAATCCTCATAACTTTACAGATGAAAAGCAAATGCTTAGAACCAGAAAAGATTAAAATAGCAAGTGTCTTCAACCACAGATTGATTTTTTTTATTTTGCAATGTTTACATATACAAAATGAGGGAAGGTACCTGTGTCCAAACATGAAATTCATTTAGGTTTCACCTAGAATTTACCCACATAACTTGGAGATAATTTTATACAGTATTTTTAGTGCATCTGTGTTTTGACAGCAACCCATCACATGAGGTTCAAAATGGAATTTTCCATTGTGGCAATTATTTTAGAACTCAAAAAGCTTTGGATATTGAAGCATACTGGATTTCATATGTTTGGATTAGGGACATTCAACCAATACTGTTAGAAGTACTGTATGATCTTTGAGGTAAAGGAAATACTAACTTCCTTCAGATGGCTGCTAAGGAGTAATCCACCATGGGGGGAGGGCACGGGGAGGGGTTGGGGGAACCTCAGAGCCTAAGAAACGATGTCATAAAATGAAATGCAATTTTAAAAAAAAGATCCAATGTACGATGGAAATATTTGGGCACTATGCAGCTCTGGTTAGTTAGTGTTCCCCACATCCAGCTCTCACCAGACATTTGTGCCCTCAAGAATTGTTTTGATTTCTACCATAGCTCCCTTTCCCTTGTTTACCTAAGAAATTAAAAAGAAAAAGATAAAGCTTCTTAGGGTTCCTTTCAACCTCGTGATTCAGTGATTTTTGCCTGCTGCTGTGCTGCAAGGAGAATTATTTGACTCATAGCTCCTAGGAAGTCTGGTCTTAGAAATGCTAATGCTTATCTTGGTAGTTAACTTTTTGTCTTAAAACACAAGAGACAGTAACATGGACTGGCTGAGACACACTTTGTCAAACTATGTATAAAATTCCTTGAGTTCTGTGTAGACTGGTTTTTCTCCTCTCTGCATTTTAGATGGCAGTTTCCCACTGAGATAAAACTTGGGTTCCGCATCCAGAATGCCCAAGTTCAAATCCCTATCTCCCATTAACTATGTAACCTTTGACAAGTTACTAAACCTCTGTGTACCTCAGTTTCATCATCTGTAAACTGAAGATAATCTTATGTCATAGGATTGTTACAAGGATTGATGAATCGATGTCTGTAAAGCATTGAAATGATGACTTGGTAAACAGTAATCCCTGAGCTAACTCAGCTATTAAATATTGTCTCAAGTTCAGATAGGATATGTGGCTTGCAGAAGAATGAATTATGTTTCACTTATGGTCATAACAACAGTGAAAGGTAATGAATGTAAAGCTGAAATTATTCCCAGTGAAACACTGGACAGTGGCAGGTGGAGAGAATGGTATGCAGGTGACAGTGCTCATGCCTGCTCCTTGTAAATATGGTGGGAAATACATTTACGATTTATATAATATATATATAAATATCCGGCAAATAGAGTACCTTCCATCTCTGTGATGTTAGGTTATAACCAAGTGGGTTAAAAAATCTGCCTAATCCTATCTTCACCCCTCATTATTGCTTACAATGGAAAAGGCAGGGAATAGATCTCATGATTACCTGTTGTTACCTGTTACCTGTTGAAGGCTAATTCAGCTACTTTTCTGCCCCTCAGGAGGCTTCCTATTGAGCCAGCAGACTGTTCTTTGTCTTGTCTGACCTGGCCAGTATGTGACAATAGAAAAGGCCTTTGGTACTGATGAAAAACAGGAAACATATAAACTTCCCTGACTTATCCCCCAAGAGCTCAAGTCTATAAAGCTGTGACTGCTGAGACTCTTTAAGACACACACATGGCTTGAAGGCAATCTCTGACATGGTTATTATGTTCACTGAGTTGAGAGCAGAGACGAACCATCTCTAGGGTTTGATGTGGAGCTTCCTTTCATCTAACATGGTGTTTTGTACAGATGCTGTTCAATGAAGTTAATATGCAGTGATGGCCTGTAAGTAGGTCCCCTCTGACTGGGAACTCTCTTTCCTGCAAGAATATTTGCTTTGTTAAGCTGGTCAAATAAAACTAATGTTAGTTATCACACGAAGAGAGGCACTCAGAAGAGTCAAGTGTTTTGAGTCAAGAGCATTGTTCAGCTTCAGTCATCCCAGATGAATCCAAGGATAAGCCTATTGAGGTACTCAGTGAATACTGCTTTATGCTTCCTTTAGTTTCTCTTCAATTAAAATATCCTTAGCAGCCAGGTGGAAAGTCCATAACATACAAAAGATAAGAGTTCTTCGTAGAGTGTCTCCCATACGTCTCTGCAATGAAAAATCTTGGAAAATATGTCTTCATGGGCCTTATTTCTAGAGGAAAGCTCTACCTATCTCTGGACATTTTCTATTTTAAAAATTAAATAATTTTATCAGTTTACAATACAGCTCCGTAGGCTCTGAGATTTCCCTCCCTATATCTCCTCTACCCCACTGAATTCCCCTGTATTATTACAATAGTATAGTCCGTAAAGGTACATTTCTCACTGTACTCTAAAGGCCAACTCTGACAAAAGCTCAAAGAATGAATACAGATGTCTGCCTCATCTCTGCACATTGCCCTGGAGCTCCTCAAGGAGCCCTGTGCTTGGGCTTTGTATTATTTTTAATGTTTTCCACAGAAAGCGTGTGCCTTCAGTGGCATGTTTGTTAAGATCCTGAGAAAAGAAAGCACGGTTCATTATCGTGACACTTTACCAACTGGCAACAATATATAAAACATTATGCCGAATAGAATGAATGTCTCTCCAAAATAAGCTTGAATCCCACCCAGTTCAGTACCCTCAGTACTCCACATGGTGCAGAAATGCCTGGTTAAATCTCCAAGATGTCACACGGGCCACCATTAATACCGCTATATCTGACAGGTAGATCAGGCCTTCCTTTCAAAGAAAGACTGAGCCATTGTCATTCAGTTCACAGGTTATTGAGATCCCACTTGTAGAAAAATGAATGAGGTTCTATACAAGAGAGCTGAAAAGCTTAAAATTTTGCAGCTGTTTATCTTGTAGATATGATAGAACTACTCAGCTTCAGCAAAATGTGTGTGTCATGCAATCTATGTATTATCATGTCTTTCTTTAAGAATGGACTGCATCATGATTGACTTGAATGCTGGCATTAACAACAGAATTAACATGGCCATGGAGGACAAATAGGATATGGTCAACATAATAGAGACTGTGTATCGAGATGCTGGCAAAGGCTAAGGCTTAGTTGTGTCTCCTAACGGCTACTCCACCAAATAGAGATACTGACACAGTCACCATCACAGTCTGTAGATACATGCTTTAGAGCCATTTCATGTGGAC